TCAAGAGGAGGTTGGACGCCCACCTGACTGGGGTCTTGTGACCCCAGCATTCATTCCTGCCTGTGGCAGCGGGTCAGGCTAGACGATCTGTTCAGGTCCCTCCTGACCCTAGCTACTATGAAACTATGAAATCTCAGGCACAGAACTTGATCTCTGAGTTTCAGTTCCCTGCTAAGGGCCCATTAGCAGTGCTCTGCTTAAAGAGATGTCATGCAGACAAATGCATTCGGGATCACAAGGGGCTCTGGTTTTGTAGAAACAAGGCCAAATCGATACTGAACAGAGAAGCCCTAAGTCATTATCAGTGCTGCCACAAAGAATCTGATGGCAGAGCGGTCTCTAATCAGGCAGCAGCCGGGTGAGTTCCAGGGGCTGGCAACAGAGATGGATGTACTGGCAGTCACGCCAAGATTAACAGGGTAATGAGGCATAGCAGCGATTTATCCAGGGGCATGGCAGAGTCTCTAAATCAAGGCTGAGAGTCTGTCTGAGAGCTGCTCTGGCTCAGCCTTATTGTTGATGACGATGTAGGATTGCCTGGGTGAGACGCTGTAGCTGGTGGAATGCAAGGTGGCTGGTACACCTTCAGCCTATGAGCCCAAAACCAGTACCCCCGAGCAAAACAGGGGCTGCAATCAATGCCTTGGTCCTTTCTCCTCCCTTTGCAGAAGTACCTGCCTGGTGTGCGGGGGGATCACCACTGTTGCAGCTAGCTCCTGCACCTTCCTTGCCTGCAGCCTGTTTTGTGTTGGGGCACAGACAGGAAGTGGCTGGAGGGCACTGTAGTCTGGGGATCCCTAACTGCTCTTGAGGATACTCTACAGAATGACAGAACTGAGGAAGTTGCAAGCAGCTGCTGGTTCTTAACAGTGCCTCATCCCTTTTCCTGGACTGTTCATGGTGCCCCTTGAAGGACGCACTTAAAGCCTCACAGGCCCTGCTTGATTGCCCTGGGGTAATTACATGACATAAGGACTACCATTTACTGGGTCAGCCCATATTCCATGTAGCTCAGTCTCCCATCCCACACAGCAGCAGATTGTGGATGCTGAGGGGGGGAGGCCAGCAGAGAGTTTCTGAATCCAGGAATCTTTCCCTTGCTGTTTTCCAGAGCTCTGGTCACCCCTGACTGCCCCCCTCCATGCTTCAGAGCTGTGTGTCTCCTGGTGGTAGGACCAGAAGAGGTGGGGTTCATATATACACTCCCCAAGGCCTGGGGGCTGCAAGTGGCTTGTGCTGTGGGGGCTCTGGCAGGTCCAGAGAAAATAGCAGAACATCAAGCAGTTCTTGTTCCCATGTACAAGAACTCAGACTCTCCAAGCCCCAGACTCTCCAAGCCCCTGCGGCTCTGGCTTTGGGGACACTGTCAGATGCAAAGCCAGGCTACGTACCTTGTTGGTAAATCTCTTCTATCTTCTTGGCGGTCTGGTTTTTGTACAGATGCACAGTGTAGCTGAGGCTGGATAATACTTGGGACAGCTTGTCTGCCTCCCTCTGAGCCCCTCTTCTGGGAGCGAGGGGCTCCTCAGAGCCACTGCTGGAGAACTCATAGTTCACAATCACGACTGCCCTGCTCTTACGCATGGACATGCTGCAAACTGGCAGATCGCACTCAGCTGGGGCCAGCTCCTCAGGTGCAGTACTACAGCAGGTGCAGCTGGCTGTTTCCACTTGTGTCTTCTGTGCTGTTGATCAGGGACAGCGGGAGGGTGGAGTATTTCTTGGGTGGCATATCCTGCTCCGCTAGGTGACTCAGTGCAAACGTGTCTCTCCCTGCCTGGCTGCGTCTGTTCTCAATGAGTGGCTGTGATAAAGACAGAGGAGGACCTGTTCCTTGTAAGCTTAAGCCTGGGGTCCTCTGTGCCTTGAGTTATGGGGATTGCATCGCTGACCTGTGAGTTAAATGTTGCCATAAAACAGCTGTTAGCCAGCAACTGGCTTGGAACAAGTTGGCAGAGGCATGATGTGTCCCCTGCTGGTCAGCGAGGTGTTTGACACACTGCAGCGGTGACCCTACTAGGCACTACCCCAATATAGGGCTTCTCCTGCTGGGTTAATGCATCAGTTCGAGTGGTACAGATCTTTGCTCTGGGTGTATAGGTCCCATCCCTGCTAATGGCCTGTGTGATACTAATCTCTGTTTGCAGAGTGGACAAAAGGCACGGTTTTGGCCCCAGGGTGATTTGCTTATGGCACACCAAAGCCAAGCTGAAAACAGAAGGTATCCTAATGACCACAGTGGGTGTCTAAAGAGAGGCAGAAGCCCCTGGCAATGAAACAGATATCCCTACAGATATCTTCATGAAGAGATATCTTCATCTCTGCACAGCACCTGTGGCTCTGGGGCCTGGTGACAGGGGGCTAAGCCTCCAATGAAGAGTTTTCTTTCTTTTCCATCCCCTAGCCTCTCAGACACCTGCCAGCCACCCTGTGAGCAGAGGCAAAGCAGCAACCTAATGCAGCTTCTCAAAGGGAAAACTTCCTAAGCACAGTTTATAATGGCAAGTATCAGGCACCCTCCATAGAAGGGCTGTTCCTATATCCATATATCCAGGGCGTCAGCTGCAAAGTGAAGCACACATAAAGTAGGGGGCTACTCCTGTCTCTTGCCACCTTTAGCAGGGGAAATAGCAAGCAATTCTAAGATTAGAGGCTGTTTAGAGACACGTTGGCAGAAGGAAGCAGAATTCCCACCTTTCCTCCCCCCGCCCCCGTTTTTTTGCTGGAGTAGCTGATTTTAGCGTGATTAGATACTGTTTGCTCCCTGCTTTACAAATGAACCTGACCTGACTGCTTTTTAATGTGTGGGTTCTCCCAGCTTCCCACAGCCTGACTGCACCTTTGTGTCATGGCAAAGTCCAGAGGTCACACTTCCCTCAGTTTCCCTGAAGTAATCACCAAGCTGGTCCATTATCCTTATCTTCCTTAACTGCTCTCTGTAACCCTGGGGGTTCAATAAACCTACTGATCCTTTAGCAGTTTTTCCATAGGCATCTGCTGATATTTTTGCCCAAAGGGCAGAAAAAAGTGTGTGTGTGTGTGTGTACGTGCACACGTGTACATGTACTTCTGCCAGTTTTCATCTCTGAGGCATGCTCTACTTCCTTGCCAGCCTCAGCTGTTCAGAACCCGCCCGACACCACAGAGTTATCTTAAATTATGAAGTTTAAAAAAAAATTCTAGGTCTGTTTGCTCTGCTTTTTGCAAGGGCTCAGATCTTCCTGCTTATAATTTGCCATGGAGAGGACTAGAAACCTTTCTATTTGGTGCAAGCAGAAGCTTTTACCTGCTGCCTCCTGGTGCTGGGGGCTTTTAGAAACACCAGATGAAACTTGTAAAATTGCAAGAACTGGCATCTGAGGGAGGCTGGTGCAGCTGTGACCCTAAAAAGGGCCTAACAAGGCTTGGCCTGTACCTAGAATTGTTCCACTGATGTAAACTGATAGTGCTCTGTATAACTACTCTTAATTCAGGTACAGATCAGTTGATCTCTTGTAGGGATGGCAGGACTGTGATGTGGTGTAAGGCTTTGTGTGCTTCTGTGGCCCTGAATTATGCAGCAGAAGCTTTGCCCCACTGAGTAATAAATCTACTTCTGCTAAACTCTAGGGAAAAATGCAACCAGAACTGGTTTGGCACCAGTTTAACTGACCTGGTTGGCTCTGCATGTAGGCAAAATCCCACCCCTCTCCCTTCCCCTTTCATGCATGGGGTTAGAATCCAACCAATTGAGAGGCTCAGGTTTGTTCTGATGGAAGGGGGTACAGGTAGGCTTGAGTGGGGATAGGGGCTTTCTTAACAAGTGATCAAATCCTGATACAGAAAGTTCAGTGATATTCCTGGATATGACAAGGACCTTGGTTTTAACTTCCCAGCAGAGGGAAAGCAAGAGGGGCTGCAGTGGGGAAAGGAAAGAGATTGTGCTCATAAGTAAAATGGCTGCTCAGAACCAGTCTGAGAGGACTCCACTGGTGTGGGTGACAATCATGAGCTACATCAGGTGATGCATCTGCCCCAATGGCTGGATTCATGGAGCAGCTGCCTAGCGAGAAGATAATGAAGGTTGCTGGCTTTGGATCTTGCTCCTATTGCTTCCAGCTAGTGACGGCAGAGCTGGGGGGGACATGAAGGACCAAGGGTCACAAGCTGTTGGTAGATAAGGAGGGAGCGGCTGCAGGTAGCATGCACCATCACTTTCCTTCTCTGCCTTTTATTTGCTTTTTTGATCCATATTGAAAGACATAAAGGGCCCTGCTGCTAACCATGGGAAATGGCCAGCTGCCAGGCTGCTGGACCTGGGTGAGGACAGGAGCGTGGGGCAGAAGGGCTCTGGATGACTGGGCCCAAGTAGCTCAATCATTCTTCTTGGAGTCTTTTGCTTGCACAGCTTTGGTCAGCTGCATCAGATCCAAGAACAGGTTGCGCTGCAGGACAGAGCTGGCACAGAGGATGGCTCCGTACAAGGCTCCTACGAAGCCACAGAAAAAGACATCCTGCCCTGGAAAACAAGGAGACATCATCATAGCTTCCTTCCCAGCCTCTGATTCTGAGCTGCCCAAGCGGGGTTGTGTGAAAGCCTGGTAAGCTGGCAGAGAGGATCTTGGACACCTGACTCATTTGCACCTGAATTGCACTTGGAGGGATGATGAGCAGCCCCAAGTTGGTGTATCTTGCCTGAGGCTGGTGTAGGCGATTAGTAGCATGGGAGGGGCTGTGTATGCAGGAGGCTGCACTACTTGGCTCTGCAGTTGTCTGTCTAGGATGCAGAAGGAGCTAGCAAGCACATTTCAAACTGGTGGCAGGGAAGCTTCTGCTCAATTCCTCTCTCTTTACATTGTGTCTATTCTCTGCTGCTCTAGCACTGCTGGCACACTGGACCCCAAACTCCATTGGGCAAAGCATTTGCAGGGTTGCAAGACAGAACCTTAGGAATTCCCCATGGGATTCCCACAGAAGTTGGGATCTTCCTCTCTGATTGCTTTAGTCTCACCTCTAATGAGCTTCCTTGGAGAGGGTCCAGAGGAGTCACCTCCTCATTGTCCTGCAGAAGAAATGGTGAAGACATGGGGAAGAACTACTATGCTAGGGGAAAGCAAGGAACCAGAGTACAACCCAGCAGCAGTAGGGCTTGGGATGATGAGTGAGAGCCAAAGGCCTGCTCACCAAGCCTCCTACCTGTCAGGTAAAGATTTGGGATCGGGGTCTGAGAGCGCATGGTGGCTATGACCTCAGCCTGCAGGCGCAAAAGGCCATGATCGGCTCCGTACATCTCGCCTTTAGGAGCGAGTAGATAGTGCTGGTTTGTGAGCGGGGTCCCAGCTGATACGTACTCAATCTGTTGAAGACAAAGGCACAGGTGAGCCACAGCAGACATGAGGACAGGGCAGGACTTGTGGAGAAAAAAGCCACTCCTGGGAGATGGAAAATTTTGGATGCCTGTAAAGAACTGAAGAGCTGCTCTTGCTCAGGAGAGCTCATTTTCTTCACTGGACAGGGCACACTACTGCTGCAAGTCAGCTGGCTGACTTAACAGTGCAGTTTCCATTTAATGCTTTGACTTCCCTCCTCCTCACTTTTCCCCTGGTGACCTCATTTTCTGAATGCCTGAGATGGCCCTGGCACCTTTCAGGGCTTCCTTCCAGCATGCGAGCACCTGCAGCTTTGTCAGGATGGCTTTGGAAGAGGCATTTAAGTAGCTGTGGAGCTAGGACAATGCCTGACCCCATCTCAAAAGGCCATAAGAATTGGCTGGGGTCCACTGCTTCATTTCCCTTCCGTGGTGAAATGGGCAGTAACAATTTAGAGCAGGCTTTCAAACCCAGGCAGTTTTCCCCAGCAGATGGCACCTTTGGGCCTTAAAAATAATGCACTGTACTTTCAAGGATGAAAAAAAAAATAATGCAAGGAAAAAAGGAGTATGTGAAACCAGCACAGGTTGCAAAGAGATGGCAGTGCCAGCAGGAAACAGAGTTTTACACTGTTTCCTCAGCAATGCAGTCCTATTCAGCTAGGGCCCCGAGGGTGCTCCCACAGAAGTGGGGATCTTTCTCTCTGATTGCTTTCTAGTCTCATCCCTGAAGAGGTCCGTGCCTTGAATGAGCTTCCTTGCAGTGGGGTCCAGAGGAGTCCCCTCCTCACTGTCCTGCATAAGAAATGGTGAGTAGTGAAGTCATGCAAGCATCTTGGGTCAAATCCTGGAGTCCAGTATTGTCCTTTCCCACATTTAGTAGCCTTGCAGTCTTTATCCAGAAGTATGTTGGACAAACATCTGCCAGATATAGTCTAGACATGTGATCCTCCTCACTGTAAAGAGAAGGACTAGTTTGAGGTCCTTTTTTGCCCTCTGCATCTCATCCTACAACTAGGTTTTCAGCACTTGAAGACTATGTGAATGTGCATTACAAACAGTGGCTTCCTTACCTTGTCCTTGATGGCTGGGTAGAGCTTGAAGATGGTCTCCATAATGGAGTTCACAAAAGTGTCTTTGAGGCCCTCATACTCCACTCCCCTCTTAGAGGCCCGCTCATCTTTCCACTCCTCAAACCACTTATATTGCGCACACGACACAACAATCAGGGTTGACTTGCCTGTAAAAACAGGTCACTACGTGGTCACAACAATGCTACTGCTGAAAGCTTCCATGGCCACCATGTAGGGCTGCTTCTGCTCCTTTGTGGTATGGCTCCACTCACACCTATAAGGCAGCTCTCCCTCTACCCCAGATGACTATTCCACCTATCTCTCTGGCTCTCCATAGGTTTCAATACCTTACTACCTTTTATTAGACCAACCCAAATAGTTGGAGTCAGTTGCCTCCCCAGCCCAGCCCCTGGCTTCTTTACTTTTCATTCCATCCAGGAAGAGCACACACCAACTGCTGAAACTTCCTTAGCCTGACGAAGAGTTTTTGAACTTGAAAGCTTGCTTAATAACTATTCTCCAACTAGCCGGGTTGGTCTAAGAAAAGATATCAAATTCACCCAAGGAACCTTGTGTGCCTATGTCCTTAGACCAACACGGCTACAACCTACACCCCTGCAATACCTTACTACTGCATTGTTGCCTCTGTTCTTACTGGCCCATCCCATAAGTCTTGTTTTTAGGGATGCTCAGAATCATTCTTCCCTGCCTTCTTCCTCCAGGGACTTGATTACCTTCCTCTGAACTTTGTGTCTTCAAGCAGAAAAGAGCCTCTTGCCCAGCACAAGCCCTTGTCCCGAGGCAAGACTGAGCCAAATCTAGTTTTCCTTCACAACCTGATTTCACTGATTACACAGACTATTTGGGAGCATTTGATTTACTGTAACAGAACAAGATACAGGGGGCCTATCCCTGGCAATGACTGATTGCAAATATTTCTCTATTGGGTACAATGGAATAATTTTCCCTTCTTTGCTCATGTGTGCCCCCACCATGGCTCTCCACAAGTTCTAAGACTGCTTCTTATTGAAAGAGAAATCCTGAATCCATTCTCCCTGCCCACAGTCAATGAAAAGGAACTTATTACATCTTTGCAAAACTAGGAAATGCCTAAAGAGGTGGACTATAGTCCAAAAACCAAAAATCAAGGACTATAGTCTTCCATGCATAGTGGAATCATTATGGCCATGATACAGACACAAATACCATCCTTACCTGGGAATCTCTCCTCCCAGGTTGGGTCCTTGGCTGATGGAGAGGTAACATACATCAGAGGGATGTTCTTTGCGGCCTCATCTCTGGATGCAGCAAGGTAGTGTTTCATTCTGCAAAGGAAGGTGAACAACTTGATGGGGGACTGTTTTAAGGGGAAGGTATTTTAGAGAATGCTTCTGCTGAATGTGTTGCATGTTGCAAAAGAATTTAGAGTGTTCAGAGGTACCAGACCACTCCTCAACTGTAAAACAAAAACGGATGGTGAATGGGGTAGAGAGATATTACTAGACAAGCCTAGCTGCTCCTTACAGTTTTTCCAAGTTGTTCTCTGGGTAGATATAGTAGTTTGTGGCTTCCAGTCCCAGTTCTTCCTTGGAGCCTACAATACCTATGAAAACAGTGAGCCCTCCTAAGCCGTGTTCCACCATGCAAAGAGAAGCTTGAATACCTGCATGGGAGAAGCATAAAAAGACAGTGAACAGCCCAGAGAGAAACCATATGTTGTACTCTGGAGAAGTACATGCTCCTCCCTAGCTAGGGTTAAGGCCAGATTTCCATATGTAGCCCAATACAGAGCTTTATTCTTTCTTTCCTCCATAGCTTTAAAAATTGGTTTGTCCAGATACTTCCCAGACTTGCCCCAGCAGCATGGGAGAAAGCTTCCACCAAGATTAACTAGGATCCCCTTTAGCATACTGATTCTGCTGCTGACACAATGCTGCTCTTGGGAACTGCCCAACTCTGTGTGCAGTGGGGATGCAAGAGATGCTACTGTGCTTTACCAGGTAAAGCTCGTGCTGCCTCTGGCAGGAGCCGCTCATACGTGTTAAATATTCCAGCATCAGAAATCACAATGGGGGCAAAGACATTCACGAGCTGTTGGCCTTTCATTACGCTCACACCTGGAAGGCAAGGGGAGAGGAAGAAAACCCATCAGCAACTCAATTACAAGCCTAAAGCCTGTCTGCTGTGCAGGGATGATTGGGAATGTGGGGAAAGCACAAGTAGGATGGGTCTGTAGTTAGACATGTCTGTAGTTCTCCTAGCTGTGGCAATAGTTTAGGAAGTGGTAGTCTTGTTATTCAGTGGTCCTGCCATTGTGCCCATCACTGTGGCTACAAATGAATGGAAGGGTTTTATAGACAGGCAGGATGGGCTCAACTGGGGTGCCTTGCCCATGAAGGAGATGCAAAGAATCAATGTTTGAGAGGAGAGAGAGAATAGGCAATGCTTATTCCAGAGGTCTCAGGTGATGGAAAGGGCTTGGGCTGGGGCTGTCATGGGAGAGTGAGGTAGGATGTGACAGCTGGGAGATGTACTTATCCATGGGAGGGGCTGGCAGCTTAGAAGCAGTTCAGATAGGCTGCTACTGGCAGTAAGCATAAGCCCAAGATGGACAGGCTTCCCATAC